CCCGTGGCGGCGGCGGCGGGCGCCTCGCGGCGCTGCTGTACGCGGCCGCCCGCCTGCGCCTGCCCGGCCTGTGGCGCCTGACCGTCCGCGCTGCCGTGCTGCACTGCCCCGTCGACGCCGACGGTGCTGTCTGCGCCCCTTGTGATGGTGGTGGTGGTGGTGACGGTGGTGACGGTGATGGCGAGCCGTACAGGCTGTTCCGGCTTGTGCCGGACCGGGGAATGGAGGACGCCGCTAGGCGGTACTGCGGTGAGTGAACGAAGCCCCTCCTCCCTCCCTTGTCTTCCTTGGCTACTAGACGAAAGATGCCCGAAAACTGACTCACCTCCTCCTCTTGCACAGCCGCCGTCAAGGAGACCCGCCGTCAGGTCGTGGTCGACATTATCGACGCCATCTACGACACGCGCGAGACGATCCGCAGAAAGGTAAGAACGCAGAACCCCCATATCGCTGTTCCGCCTCCCCCACTCATCGCTGACACACACACCTTTCGTCGCGGCAGAAGACCGGCTACGGCCAGCGCGACCCGCTCAAGGCGCAGCTGGCGTGCCTGGGCCTCTGGCCGGGCCACCACGACGCCGGCTACCGCTCGCACCCGCCCGTGCGAGAGAGCGTGGCCGCCCTGATGGGCCGCGTCAAGAGGGCCGCCGACGCCGCCGCCGCCAGGGGCGACAACGGCGAGCTGATTCTGCTCGTCGACAGGATCCGCGCCATCGTCGATGCCGTGCACCTGCCGCTGCCCTGAGTTCGGGCTGCTGAGCAAGCAAGTCGCCAGATTGCACAGGCCAAGAGAAAAAGGCAACGACGGGGATGAGAGCTGAGGCGGAGGAGATGATATTGTTCCCACAGACGCTTCCTTTACCATCCTCACAAGACTGCTCATCTCATCAGGAAAAGTTTGTGTGGTTTATTCGGGCGAGTATCTCAAACTCTCCATGTAACAGCATGCTACTGCAGACTAGCTGTCATCAAAGCAGAAAACAGCTGTTTTTCCTAGCGTTTGCCACCATGTAAGCCCACGAGGTAAAATAAAGCAACGAAACGCTGGAGACCTTGCTGCCACGCGTGAGTGAGTACATCTGAGCTGTCATCAAAAGAATAGCCTCGCAAAATCAACCCTGTTTTAGGTCCACATCAGTCCATCATTACCTTGCCCATACATGTCCAGCTGGCCGGCACTCCAAACACCCCCCCAACACCAACCAACCAGATCCAGGATTCCATCATCACCCCCGACTCCATCCAAACGCGCGCGCGCCAAGACCCTCACATTTTGACCCTGAGCAGGTATCGCAGCCGCACTTGCGAGACGTCGTAGACGATAAACTCGTTGTACTGCAGGTACGCGCCCTGCACCTTTGTCGGTCCGGGCTTGACGCTTGTGTCGGGCATGGTGGTGCCCTCGAGGCTGTCGTGAACGGCGCCGGCGTCGCGCCACTCCTTGGGCCCCGTCATGCCCTTGCCCCAGGTCGAGTACATGCCGTTCTTTTGCGCCTTTTCGCCGGCCTCGTAGTCGGCATTCGTGAGTTCCTGCATCGGCTTCCCCAGCTCGGCCTCGCACAGGAGCAGCAGGGCCTCGCCGCCCGAGATGTACGAGCAGCAGTAGTTGGCCGACTTGGACGACATGTCGGCCAGGTAGATGCCCTTGCCAAACATGTAGCCCGACACGGGAGCCTCGGGAGGCGCGATGCGGAGACCCTGGCTGAGGATGCCTCCAAAGTTGGTGACGCGCGAGCCGTGCCACAGCAGACGCCTGTCTTGTGGCGGGCCGGCCAAGGGAGACTCCTTGTCGAACCGCTCGTGCTCTCCGGCGCGCTCGATGCGGAAGATGTCCTTGACCGTGTAGTTGTGGCCGTGGGTGGCGCCGCGCGTGTCGTTGAGGTAGTCCTTGATCAGCTTGAACTCGTCGCTCGAGTACTGCAGCGCCGTCATCTCCTCCAGGTTCAGGCCGTTGTACAACTTTGTCAGAGGGTGGACAGGGTCGCGCGCCACCACCTTGTCCTTGCCCATGATGTTGTTGGCGTCCTTCATATCGCTCAGGCTCTCGAGAAGCTCCACCTCCTTCTTAAGGAGCGACTCCTCGCAGATGACGGGCGGGCGGTCACGACCAAACGCGTGGGGGATAACGGAATAGTACGAGTTGGAGAGGTGCTCGATGGCAGAGTCGGCGTCCATCCCGTAGTCCGCCTGAGCCTGGGAAGGGTCATCCAGCAGCGCAGAAAGGTCCTTGAGCGCCTGGAAACCGCGGCTGATGGTCGATTTGCTCAGCTTGCCGAGCGGCAGCTTGTTGGCGTCGTAGTTGAGCTCCGACATGGCGGCAGCAAAGTACTGCTTGTTGAAGATGAGCTTCATCAGGTCCTGGACCGGCTCCTCGAGCGAGCAGGTCGGTGGGATCCACTTGTCCTTGGCCTCGTCGTCGTCGTCGTCATCGGCCATGACCTCATCCTCGTCGTCCGAGTCTTCGTTATAGCTCCGCTCGACGAAGGTGTACTTGCCGGCCTTGGGAGGCGCGAGGCGGTCCTCCCAGGAATGGCCAGACTTGTCCTTGAACTTTTTCTCGAAGTTCTTGATTGCGTCCTCGGCAGTTCCATTTCCGAGAATGGCCTTCTGGCCAAGCTCGCCGACCCGGCCCCAGCGCGTCCACGTCTTGAAGTCTCCTTTACCATCCCTGATGATCTGGACCCGGTAGAACTTGTTGTTGTTGTTGCTAGCGTTCGTCTGGTTGAGCGACGCGTCCCAAATGTGGCCCTGGTCGTCGATGTAGACTGCATAACCGACCATGGTGCAGGCCTCATCAAGGGGAACCTGCAGATTCTTGGATCGGGCAATCTGCCCGTCCGCAGCGGGTGCCTTGTCGGCCTTGTCCTCCTTCTTGACCTTTGCCGACTTGGCTGTCGCTTTGCCTTTGGCGGGCGCCGCAGGCTTCGCATCATCGGCAGAGTCAGCATCAGCGCCGTTGGCAGCTCCATTGGCGCCCTTCTTCGCGCGCTTCACCAATGGCTTGGTGTCTGGCTCATCATCAGAGCCAGCAGCGGCAGTCGAGGTGCGTTTGGCCCCCGCTTTGGCTTTTCCCTTGGGCTTGGGCTTCTTGCCCTCATCATCAGACGCGGCTGCTGAGGCAGCAGTAGAGGTAGCGCGTTTGGCGGCAGCCTTGCCCTTGGTAGCCTTCGCCTTGGGTTTGGGCTTGACCTTCTCCTCCTCCTCCTCCTCTGCCTCGGAAGCTGCAGCAGAGGCAGCAGTGGATGCAGCTTTGCCCTTCGCAGCTTTTCCCTTGGTTGCTTTTGCCTTGGGCTTGGCCTCCTCCTCCTCCTCCTCCTCTGCCTCGGACGCCACGGCGGACGCAGCCTTGCCCTTGGCGGCCCTTCCCCTGGTCGCTTTTGCCTTGGGCTTGGGCTTGGGTTTGACCTCCTCTTCCTCCTCCTCCTCCTCCTCCGCCTCCGAAGCGGCGGCAGAGGCTGCGGCGGATGAGGCGGCATTCTTGCCCTTGCCTTTGCCGGTCTTGGCACTGGCTTGCGACTTCTGCGACTGCGACTGTGCCTGAGCAGCGGCCTGTGCTGCAGTGGCAGATTTGCCGACATCGTAGGCATTCTCCGGCTCGCGCTTGTCGTTGGCCTCGCAGTCTACCAGCCAGTCGAAGCTAACAATCGGCAGATCATTGGAGGTGGCGGCCTTGACCTTGGTGGTGTTGCGCAGAAAGTCATGCTCGGTGGTGACGAGATGGGTCGTGGACTTGGTGACCGACGCCGAAACGGTGGCGCCGAGGCCGACGACCTTGGCCTTCGCGTCAGCCTGAGAGCAGTCAAAGGTGCCGCTGAGCGCAATGACGAGGCCATCCAGCGGCCGGACAGCTGGCGCTGCTGCCGCGTTTCTGGCGCTGCGCCTGGGTGGCATCTTGGCGGTGGAGCCGACTGAAGTCGCTGGGGATTGAGGATGGGAAAAGAAACGACAATGAGCGGGTGTTGATTAACGCGAAACGCGCTAATATGCGTGAACGAGGGGTGGAAGGGAGAAGACTGAAAAGACGGAGAGGACTGAGAGAAAGGCGCAAATGAAGCTGGAGGTGGCTTTAAATTCCGCCGCACTCCTTCAGCTCACGCCAAGCTCCAGGGACTGCAGGTCGGGCTGTGGGAACGCGGCTCGGAAGGTGCAGGGGGCGTGCGCAGGCAACAACGCCAGAGCTCCGCTCTCGAAGCTGCATGACGGGAAACTCTCGCCCTCTCACGTGAGTGCTGCCTGGTTCTGGTGGGACGATGGGGATGGCTGGCCTAGCTTCTGCAGCGAATCTGTGGAAAGGAGATGAAAGCGATGAAAGCTCCAGCCATTGGTTTTTGCGAATGCGTCAACTCTCTGTCAGGCCACATCGCCAGCTGGCCCCCAATGCTGTGCACAGTCCCGCCAGCGCCAATCGTTTACAGAGTAGAGACCATGGCGTCATGTGCCAACAGCAGGGATGAAACCCTCGAGCGAGCTGCAGATCCGATTGTGCTACCAACCTAATTGAGAATAGCATCCATTCCTGCCTGCCTCTGTTCATGCCTGAGTGTCTACTGGCTGCCTGTGACGTGCTGTCCGTGGAAGCCAATGCCCACCGCAAACTGGCACTCTGCCCGTCCAAGCTCCTTCATCGTCCTCGCATCCAGGCAGAGCAGGTAGCTGTGCCTGTTGTGGCCGTCCAGAACCACGCTGAGCAACACCCCGTCGTCCTCGGCGTTGTCCTGGTCCCCCTCGGCCCTCGGCCTCGGCACAAAGACGGCCTCGCCAGGGCTGTGTCCAGACGGGCCCTCCCAGAGCACCGCCTCGCGCGTGTGCGTGTCCGTCTTGACGATGCCGTCCAGGAACGTGCTCAGCCCGCGGTGCACCAGCCCGTACACGAACTTGTGCCGCCGGCAGGCGTACGCCGGGTTGATGGTCGGCAGCTCGCCCGCGTGCGGCGTGGGGATGCGGAGCTCCGGCTCGACCCTGGCCACCTCGTCAGGTCCCCGCGGCCTCGCGTCCTTGCCCTTGCCGATCGTCATGGGCAGCCGGAACCGCGTCAGCGCCGGGAGTGCGTCGTGCTTGGCCCAAAAGCCCCCGCCCGTGCCGTTCCGGTCCAGCAGCACGTCGTAGTACAGGGCCTTGAGGATGCTGGTGTCCCTGTACGACACCATCTCGCACACCACATCGCCCGTCTTCTCGTCCTCGTACGCATTCGTCGAGTGGAAGAAGAAGCCAGCGTCCGAGGTGAACTTGGCGACGACCCCCTTGCCGCCCCGTCGGTCGATGACGTACCACCGGCAGGGCTCTGCCGGGTTGAACGGCGACATGGCGTCCAGGAGGTTGCCCTCGAGGAATATCTTGAGCCCGTCGAGCACAAAGTGCGCTGTCGGGACGCAGACCACCACGTAGTTGCCCGTGATGAAGGTGCTGTGTATATACGCCAGCTTTGCCTTGAACTTGGCCAGGATCGATGTCTTGCCCGTCGACGCGCTGACCTGGAACACACGGTAGTTGTCCCCGATTGGGCCCGCGTCCTGGTTGATGTTAAACATGTCTCCGGATTCGGGGTCCGTCAGCCAGTGCGAGGGCGCCATCTTACCCGTTAGGGAAGGATGGAGGTCCGAAGGCATGACGAGCCTGATCTGCTCCAGCGTCTGCCGGTCGACCTCGGACAGCGTGGCGGCATCCGTCGTCAACATGGCTGTGTCTCGGCCGCGCTTCCGGTCAAGGGCGGTGCCCAAGGCGGCCGAGCCGGCCTGGATGGTGACGCAGATGTTGTTGTACGTCTCGATCTTGCGGTGAAACATGGTCTGCACCTTTCCGAAAATGCCCACGCACGGGTCGGCGCGCTGCGCGAACGAGATGCCGTTGATGATGCCCTTGGATCTGATATCGTTTACCATGGCCTCGCATTGTCGACGGGATGAATAGAAAACCCGGACGCCAGACCCTTCATTGCTCCCATTGTTCCTGCCGTCCTCGTCTTGTCCAGTCATGATGTCGAACCGGTGAGTGTGTGCAAGTCCGTCGAACCAATGCGAGATGTGAAACGTGCCCGACTTGTCGTCCTCAACCTTGCAGCCGGACGGACCGGTGCGGTACAGCGAGCCGGCTACCCACGCGGGAATCTCTCCCTTGATCTCGAGCTCGATAGGGCCCCTCTGCTCGGTCAGGCCGTCGAACTGTTGAGAAGAGGGTCAGCACGCCACAAGCTGCAGACCGCGGCTGGTATGGGAAGGGCTGACAACTTACGCCCGCTTTGTTTGGCCACTCTTTGTATGCATTGCTGTCCAGGTTCCTTCGAACCTCCTGAGCATCGGCCGCCTCCTTGTCGACCCCTCTCTTCCTCGTTGGCTCGATGTCGATAAACTTGACCCCGCGCAGGGCTGCTCTCTCGGGTTTGCCCTTGTATTTAGAAGACTCGGACGTCTGCCTTGAAACTGCAGTGTAGCCTATCGCCGGAGGAAGGCCGACGTAAAATGTGCCTCTCTGAAGCCAGATAGCCCTCATTTTGGGCGATGTCGACAGTAACTTGTGCTTCCGGGGATGGCTCCAGGGAGGCTGTTGTGGTTGTGCACGGGGTGAAGAGATTTCTTGGCCCCGGACGCTCTTGCCCAAAAAACATATCCAACCCAACCCTAGGGTCCCTAGCACAGAAGTGCCACAGCACCGCTCGGGGCTAGCACTGGCTCCAAGCTGCCAAGCTGCCATGCTGCCATGCTCGCACATCTTTCTCATATCGCCCATGCCCCTTGTGGCCGCCTCGGAACGGATAATCGACGCTTCCTAAGCAGCATCTCCAGGTGCTTCTTGAGCAGAAGACGGTTGAATACCAGCACTTTGCTACAGGAACTGCCACCCAGCCTTTTCGTGGCGCACCCAATCGTCGGCATGGTGCAGCAGAGGCTTGACCGCAGCAAGGGCGTTGTTGACATGCGGTACGTCAAACATGGTGTCGACTCGGGGTGCAGCGTGGCGAAGGGCATGGCGAAGGGCATGGTGACCATGACCGCCGTCAGCGACCACAGCCTCAAGCGCCTGTCCGCAATGCCCTACGCCTACCAAGGCGTAGAGGCGAATTGCTTCCTGGTATAGGGCGTGCATGGTCGTGCGGCTGAATTAGATGGGGATCGTGATACAGGTTACACTCCGGGGAGCGAGCGAAGCGGTGCACAGCGTCTGACGCGGACGAGGCGAAGTCGGAGTCAAAAAGCCTTCACCATGCCGAGAGTTCTGCCCTTGCCCTCCATCCCCGCGCACAGAGCCGTCTGAAGATAGTGTGAGAGATCTGATCGGGATCTGGCTGATGACTATGTCCGAAAAGCTCGGAGCAGGCTCCTGACACCGCCACCGCGCACCGAGCTCACACCCCGCGACGACGCGTCGAAGCGGTCGGCCAGTTTGGAGGCAGCGAGGCGTGGTGGGCGCTTGTATGGGGCAAGCAGGGCTACTGCAAATGGTGCCCGTAGCCGTCAAGATACTGATGTCTTCTTCAGAAGTCAAGCTCCCTCATGGTTCGCGTCCATCCTCGGCCCTCAAGCAGGCCAGCTGCTAGGTTGCCATACCGTGGAGGACAAGTCCAACGAGACTACAGCCTGAGCCAAAAGTCAGCCAGAGCACAAGCGGATCCGGAGCCTAGCCGAAGTCACCCTCTAGTCCAACTAGGTAGCCGACGAGACCACGAACCAGCCGGCCATACCGCGGAGTCGGCGGCGGGATCACGGACCGGTAGACTAAAATACGAACCAGACGTGCGGGTCTGCGGCCGAACCCAACTCTTGCCAGCTTCGCTGGAGCAGAGAGCCAGCATGCGTGCACCACTGCTGGCGGACAACAGAAGGAGAAGCGCCTCAGCGAGGAGGAGGGTAGCGGCCAAGAAGAATATCCCTACCGGAATAATGTCAACCGATGATACTGTGGATTGGATCCAGCTGCTCGTATCCTTGAACCGCTCCGTACCCGCGGAGAAGCAGATGTGCGCTAGGCTGTAGTGTACGCCGACCTCGAAGAGCATCAAGGCGCGACTGGACTTCGTGTGCGCAGTTCTCTTGCCCGACGATAGTAAACTAATGGCCAAGACCCCTCAAACCTCGGCCCGTAAACCTCGGCCCGCAAGCCTGGACTCGATGAGGGTATAACCGCCTACGGCTATGCCAGCACAGGCCGCGGTCGGTGCGCTACTACAGCTGACCCATCTCTATCACGCCCTCGGCTGTCATCTCCACGATCTGCTGTGTGGTTGACAAGACTGACACACCCATACGCCCGGCGACATCTACGCCCAGCACGGCCGTATAGAGCTTTACGTGCATGTTTTGTGAGCCACGTCTGGTAGCTTAATGACAATATAGAGGTTTGAGAAGAGATGTGGTATTTACCAGGGGCGGACAACTGCTGCCCGTTAGGTTGTGCCACGGTGTATACCGGGAATGTTATGGAAAAGGCTTTGTTGTTGCACGAGGAGGAAGCTATCTGGACAGAGCGCCCCTGGCGCGTTGGGAGTGTGGCCTCAGGTTTCTCCCTAGGTGTCCCGACGCGTACCGTGACAGGTTGTTCCGTGACCGGTCTTATACAATTTATACTGTTCATGATGCGAGAACATGACCAAAACAACGGTTTTGCCGAGATACTGCCAGTGCAAACATGATCGGGACGGAAATACGAGGCCTCCCGAAGATCCGAATTGGAACAAAACAAAAGTCTGTCGAGCGAGGGTCTCACAGTGCAACCCCAATTAACACCGGACGGCCGACCCCGGGCAGGGTTCTTCGTCCAACATGGCTGGCCGCCCTGTCCAAGTCCGTGGGGTGCCAAGCGAGGCATCCAAAACGAACAGACTGTGCGGAACTGCCCGTTCGGGAAGTTGGAATTTGGACAGAAATAGCAGTGTGGCTGTCAAGCATTGTTTGTGGGGGGCCTGCTCGAAACATTTATTTTCAGAGGTGGCAGCACACCCCTGGCCATCGGCCGTGCGCAGCAGGTCATCCCATGTCGTCGGCTTTGTGCCTGCCACGATGACAGACACAATCCCCGGGAGGCGGGTATGGGTCACCGCGTGGATCGGCCAAGATTTCTAGAAGATCGCTCTTTCCGCCATCAAGCTCATTTTTTGTTTCCTTTCCATCCTCGTCCTCAGCCACCGCCACTTTTCCTTTCTGTTTTTTTTTCTCCTTTTGTCCTTTTTTCACTTATACAAACACAGACAGCCATGCACTACCTCCCCGTCGCCAAGGCCGTCGTGGCCATACTCCTGGCGGCCCAGGCCGCTGCCGCGCCGATGCCGCAATACGGCACCTCGGTGGAGGTCGGAGCTCGGGGAGCCGCCCTCGAGGCTCGCGAGCCCAAGACCTGGCAAGGCAAGCCGACGGACATATACGGCATCGGCATGAAGGGCGGCGACAGCAGCGGCTTTTCGACCCAGGCCGTCACACGCCGCACGGTGGAGGAGGCCGGAGACGCCGAGATGGAGGCCCGTGATATCAAGGCCCCGTTCAAGAACATGAACGGCGAGAGTCTCCTGACGCGGCAGCTGAAGCGCAACGTTGAGTAGGCTACGAGACGCCACCACCCGAGCCCGCGCTGTTGAGGACGAGGCGGCTGATGCCGAGCCCTGGCGTTTTAGTTCTAGGAGTTTGAGGACCACCTCCTTTCTTGTTTATGTCTGCCCGCTGTTTCTGCTTCTTGCCTGTTACTTGGTCTTCGTATTTGGTTTTGTTGTATTTGTCTGTTTTAATTGTGTGGCGTCGGGCGTCCGCTCTGCCAAAGCTGTTGTCCTAGCGGACGACAAGGCGTAGCGATATAGGGGACGGGTCGTAATCACACCAAACACTTTTTATTCCTTTCCTCGTCTTGTTTACTTGAATGTGTGACCTGAAGAAATGCCATGCCATTCCCGAAAAAAAGAACTACAGCTCGTTGCTAGCAGCCTCATCACCACGCACCTCCTCCTCCTCGCCCTTGCCCTTCCCCCGCCTCGTCCGCAACCCCCACGTCCAGTGCCCCGTCGGGTCCTCCACCAACGCCTTGAGAGACGGTATGTCGGCCGCGCGGGGCCCCAGCTGCCTCTCCAGCGCCTCGATGGCCCGCTCCCCGTACGCGACGACCTCGTCCCGCATGCCGAACATGCCGAAGTTGAGCGCGGCGCGCGTGCACGCCGCGCCCAGGTACAGGTGCAGGCGCTCGCGCTCGTGCAGCGCCACCAGCTCGCGGCCCGTGTCGGCCGTCACGGCGCCGTCGAGGCTGTCGAGCGCGGCGGTCAGCTCGTGGATCCGCGCCACGTTGGCGTCCGAGGCGGCGGCGGCGGCGTGGTCGGGCAGGCTGCACTGCCGGCAGCGGCAGTCGAAGCCCCACCCGCGCAGGCGCGCCTGGCGTTCTGCTCGCGGCTGCATCAGGTCGATGTAGCTGAGGCTGATCTCCTCGCCGGGCTGGATGTCGCGCACGGCCGTCGTGATGTGCGTCAGGTTGCTGAGGCGGTACGTGGTGCTGCGGGTTGTGAAATTGTCTTGTGTGAGTATGTTTTATCAAGGAGAGGCTAGGCAGGACAGGACAAGACTGACCTCGGCCGACAGTCGTGGTTGATCAGCGCCGCCTGCGGGTAGACGGCCATGTGCTTCCCCCGGGCCCCGATCCACAGCGTAAAGGCGTTCCGCGCCAGCTTGGCGCGCACGTCGTCGCCCGCCTGGCCCATGAAGCCCTCCCTGGCCGCGGGGGACAGCTTCTCCAGCGCGCGATCGTACAGAGCCCCGACCTTGGCTTCAGGGAGCCCGTGGAAGGCGTCCACGTCGACGGCCAGGACGGGGCGCACGGATAGGACGACCTCGCCCGTTCGGATCAGTCGCGTCGCGACCAGACCTCTCCCCTTTCCGGGCACCTCGGCGACTCGGAAGGGAGGGTCCTCGGGAGATGTGAGGGGAGGGCCGTCGGTGGCGGCTTCGGTGAGCGCCGCCGCCTCCATGGCTTGCTCGCCCCTAGTGATGAGAGCGAGGCCCTGGCCGTTGTTGTAACGAGGGTTCCAGTACAGGCACGAATCGCCCATGCAGTGCTCGGGGCCTTGCCATCCCGTCGCATCTTCAGCTCCGCAAGTCTGCCTTACTGTGTCGTCAAGCGGGCTGCTGTAGTCCTGCCAGAGGCACTCGGCTAGTGCCAAGGTTGAGGGTAACACGGCGGTGCACAGCAGATGAATCCAGAGCATCGTAGAAATAGGTCAGATGGGTGGGCGCCGGTTCAGTGTCTAGGTCTGCTGTGGATTGGATATTTGCGAGGTAATAGTGTTGAGCTACCGCCGTGCCGTCAAGTTTCGCCAGGCCGGCCACGAGACAAATGGGTTCTGCAATCCGTGAAAATCCTTCGTTGGGGAACGCCGGGAAAGGCCCTCCGTGATAACGGCGATCATCTCTGGCATTCCGCCCTGGCAGAACTGTGGCTAAATGCATGCAGCCGCCAGCCGTCTTGTAGCCACTGATATTCACAGGTAATATGGGCTTCCAAAGGGGTTTAGCCTCTTCGCCTGGACACAAAGGCAGCCTGCGCGGTCGGTCTAGATGGCTGTAAGGGCTTCCATTACAACCCTAGTTCGTCTCTCTCGTTTACGAGCATGGTTATAAAAACCAAATCCTCACATCCCCTGTACCTCCCGCGGCTTGTACTCCTCCTCGAGATACCTCAGCTCCTCCTCCGTCAGCTTCACCGACAGCGCCTGCACGGCCTCCTCGATCCTCTCCTCGGTGCTCAACCCCAAAATTGGTGCGCAGCCCTTGTGCAGCACTCACGCCGTCGCCAGCACCGCCATGCTCACGCCCTTCTTTTTGGCCAGCTCCTCGACCCGGTCGACGATGGCCGGGTTCGCCGTCTCGTTCCACCGCCTCGACTTTACGTCCGTCTGCTCCCGCAGCGTCGGCGCCGCCCCACCGCCACCATCCCCCTTCCTGTTGGGCCGGGCCAGCTGGCCGCGCGCCAGGGGCGACCACGGGATGACCCCACCCCCGTGGCGGCGCAAAAGGGCAGCATCTCGCGCTCCTCCTCGCGGTAGAGCAGGTTGTAAAAGGGCTGCATGCTCACAAACTTTGTCCAGCCGTTCTTGTCGGCGACGTGCTGCAGGCGCGCAAACTCCCAGGCGTACATGGACGAGGCGCCGAGGTAGCGCACCTTGCCGCTCCGCACCACGTCGTGCAGCGCCTCCATGATCTCCTCGGGCGGCGTCTCGCGGTCCAGGCGGTGGATCTGCAGCACGTCGATGTAGTCGGTGCCCAGGCGCGCCAGCGAGTCGTCGACGGCCTTGAAGACGTGCTTGCGCGAGAGGCCCATCTGGTTGACGAGGGCGCCGTCGTTGGCCGCCGGCTGCGGGCGCGAGTCGTCGTCCATGACGGGGGTAGAAGATCTTGGACAGGACGACGACGCGCGACCGCGGGATGGCGAACTGCCGCAGCGCCTTGCCGACGGTGGCCTCGGACGCGCCGTTGCTGTACGTGCCGGCCGTGTCCCACGTGTTGATGCCCAGGTCGTAGGCCTTCTTGAGCAGCCTGAGCCCCTCGTCCACGCCCAGCGTCCAGGGGGAGCCCTCCCAGGCCGGCGAGCCGAACGCCATGCAGCCCTGGATCAGGCGCGACACCTTGAGCCCGCTGTTGCCCAGCCGGACGTACTCCATCTTGCTAGACATTGCTGCTACTTATCTCTGATGTGTACTTTGCGTGGGCGATTTCACGGGTGCTGACGTGCGAGTGGTAGCAGGAAGAGGCGATAGATAGGAGTGTGACTGTTTAGACCGCACGTTTTATGTCATGACTTTGACTCCCTCCGCCCTCGCCCAACATGTCCATCTCACGCCCGTTTTAATCACAGTTATAAAATGATGGGGTGCGAGGTGGTGTCACATGACAAACGCTAGTATTTAGTCCTGGGATCGTTGGCTTCCTTTGCCGGCTTTCCCTCAATCCGACAGGTTGCACCTCCGACAGATGGAGACGCGCTCCCGCATCACAACCTAATATCCTTCGTCGCGCCGGATTCTCTTCTGAAGCCTCCAAGAGACCTTCTCCACGAATTCCCGGCGGCTTCCGGGCATCATGCCAGGGCGTGGCGTGTTCTCTTTTCTGGGCGCTGGCTCGGCTGAATTGCTGGCTCGGCCACATCGGCCTTCTCGCCGTCTCACGCCGGACCCACCGCCAGGCACTAACACTGAGAGTGCTGCGGTGCTGGTTCGCGGGGGACACTGCCGCCAATCAGGGGCCTCTCGGCTTGGGCGAGCACTACACGGGAACGGAGCGAAGGCCTACCCTCTCGAGGGCGAATCGCGCATGCTGGGAGCCAAGTGTTGGAAGGAGCTTCCAGCTGTAGTTGATGGTGGTTTTATTATATCCGGGATAATCCGTCTACAGTCCGATTCCTTTTGATCCGTCCCTTGAGTCCTACTTTTGTGCTTTCCGCTTTCCGTTTGCTATCCATTCATCTCCTCCGTGATGCCCAACTCATTAACGCAAGAAATAAACAAAATCCTTCTTTTAATGCACCAGGTGCGAATTTCTTTGCCTTCATAAATTCCCTTATATCCAATAACCGAAAAGCATGCCATCAATTTTGATCGCGGAGCTCGCCGCCGTTCTGGCCCAGCAGCCCGACGTCAGCCTCACCCTGACCGATCTCACCCAACCACCCGTGCCCAAGGTCGGGTCGCAGGGCGCCAACGTCACCTTTACCTGCCTCGCCTCGGATCTTACCAGCCCCGAGGCCGTCGCGTCCGTCTTCGCAGACAGGTTCGGCGCCGTCTACAACCTGCACGGCCTCATGTCGGGCGGGTCCGAGGCCAACCTCGAGCTGGGCCTGCGCGTCAACCTCGACAGCCACCGCCAGGTCCTCGACTCCTACGCAAGAACCACCCGGGCACCGTGGCCGTCTTTCCCTCCAGCCTGGCCGTGTACGGCCCCACGGCCGCCGGCGAGGTGGTCAGTGAGGCCACCTGCCCCGTGCCCTAGAGCAGCTACGGCGCCGAGAAGCTGATTGTCGAGACCCCGATCAACGACTACTCCCGTCGCGGCCTGCTCGACGGCCGCGTCGTGCGCCTGCCCACCGTCGTCGTCCGCCCCGGCGCCCCGTCTGCCGCCGCCTCGTCCTTTTGCCAGCGGCATCGTGCGCGAGCCGCTCCGAGGCCAGGCGTGCACGCTGCCCGTCTCGCCCGACCTGGAAATGTAGGTTTGCTCGCCGGGGACGGTCGTCAAGAACCTGATCGCCATCAAGGACATTCCCGCCTCCAAGTTTGGGCTTTGGCGTACCGTTAACCTGCCCGGCATCACCGTAAAGGTGAGCCAGATGCTTGACGCGCTGGGGGAGGTCGGTGGCAGGGAAAAGAGGGCGCTGGTTAAGGAGGGGCGGGATCCGGCCATTGAGAAGATTGTGTGCAGCTGGCCCTCCAGTATGGACACAAGCCGCGCGGCCTTGCTTTGTCTGCCGCCCGACGCGTCTATAGCAGAAACGGTCAAGGCTTTCGCTCGGAGTGAGGGGGTACCATCATGACCGTGGCGGGTGGCGAGCCGTGGTTCGTGCATCTGTTTGCAGACCGTTATGCGTGTGCGGTTGGATTAATGAAACACGAACATGTCTGACGACAAAAACGGCAGACCTGCTGTGTGCTGCATGGATTGTCACGGAAAGTTGAGATGGTCGTAGTTGAAGTCGAGTTGGCCGCCGTGGAAGTCTAGGAAAGACGTCCCCCCAAAGACAAAGTCAGGGCTTAGGTTGTTGCTGAAAGAAAACGGGGTCTCGGCCATTCCGCCGTTCAGCCCACCAAGCGAGTTGTGATCACTGAAGCCCGGCGTTCCGGCGCCATCATGTGGCAGGCCATATGGCGACCCGGCAGCAGCGCCGTGGCCATTGTGGCCAGAGATGCCGTGATGAGCAGGCACGTTGGAGCAGCCGTTGGCGCTGCGGGAGGCAAGGCCGCCGCCGCCTCCTCCAGGGTCGCCTTGCAGGAGACTAGCGGCCGCCTGCTCTAGCCCCTGTGCCATGAGGTGAACGAGATGCCATTTCCCAACCCCAACGGATCGGAACTGATTCACCAGCTTCCCGGCAAGTTCGCTGACAAGGGAGACCTCGACGAGGCCGTCGGTGCGGCGCTTGGTTGCGATCTTGAGCAGGAAGACGCACGCAAACGCGGTCATGGCGTGGAGGTACGACGGCATCCCGCGCAGGCCGGCCCGTATGTCTGCGTCCGTCAGGAGTAGCTCGACGATGGTGGTCGCGGCGGCAACGGCGCCAGTGGCGGCGCTGCGGAATACGGCCGGGATAGCCTCCTCTGGAGACAGGCCCCGGAAGACATGCGAGAACAAGTACAGCTTGGCAAAGTGGTAGTGGATGAGGGCGCCCTTGACTGGGAACTCGCCAACTGCCTCGAAATTTTCTGTGCGAGTTGTCAGTGGCGGTCATAAAAGCTTGAAAGCTCCCATGGCATCGCTGATTGTAAGCAGCCCAGCGGCTGGATGGACAGTATGGACTCACTCTTCAGTTCTACCGACCAAACGGCGATCCAGTGGTCAAGCTGCTTGCTGAATGTCGCAATCTGTGTCGAGTGGACAAGTGGGATGGTAGTGCCGCTGTCCGGGCCAAACAGCTCGTGCACGCCCGTCAGGATGATGTGTAGCGCGACTTGGCTGATTAGGCGCCGGTCGTGGTCGGTCGCGGCAGGCGATGCCAGGAACTGTTCCCAGCCCTGGATTGCGTAGTCTTCCCGCACCAGCGATGGCCGGCCGTACAAGATGGACAAGTGCTTGTCGCAGATGTACAGGTTGTACCATATCCTCATGCAGTCTGCGGCTTCCTCGATAGCCTCGGGCGGGCCCGTCGCTACCGGTGTCGAGACTGAACGGGATACCCCCTGAGCACCGCCGGCCTTGACAACGCGGTGGTAGTTGGCCACTAGGTTGAGCTCTGTTGCCCGGCGGATGGCAATGCCAGACAAGGTCCAGGACACGTCGCTGAGCCAGTACGAAGCGATGCAGAGGGCCCGGAGGTGCTCGCGATCGATGCGTCTGTCAAAAACGGACCCCGCGACGAGCCTGCGGAACTCGTTGCTGCACACGGGGTAGATTTGGTTGCTGCTGGAGTCGTGAAGGGCCGCCACCGTGAGAATGCAGGCGGTCAAGACTGGGCTCTGCCGGCGCAGGGAGTCGAGCGTCCGCCACTTGCGGCCGATGCGGTAGACGAAGTGGTCTAGCCGTTCTATGTACAGCTGGAAAAGCTTCTGTGCGTCGGCGACCTGGACCTGGCCTTCGGATATGAAGTCGTTCGGGGCTTGCGAGGTGGAGTTGCTGCCGTGGTGGCTGGCCATCATGTCTACACCGCCGCCAACGCCGTTGCTTTGGCCGTGGTGGCCGGATCCCTGCCTCCGCGACCCTGCCTGCTCCATCTCGTCGGGCATGGCCTCGGAGGCCCTCAGGGCACGCAGTTTCGTGAGGTAGTACACAGACTGCATCGGGACGTCGGGCATGCCATCCTCGGACTGCGGCATCAGCTTGGGCGAGTTGTCCGTCGATGGGCCAACCTCCTCGTGCGCCTCGGCCACGACGGAGGCGCTGCCCAGGTTGTCGGGGCCCGGGCGGTCGAGGGAGCTGCGCAGCGGTTGCAGAGGTGGCAGCCCCGAGTGGTCACGCATGTGCTGCATGCTGGCGTGCAGGGTCTCGAGGTCGGAGATGATGTCTTGGTGCCACTGGGAACGTTCGTCCATGAGCATCTGGAGGCTCTTGCTCAAGACGCATGAAAGATTCCTCTCCTTGCATCTTCGGCAAGGTGGAGACCCCTGGTCCATGTGACATCGGATCTGAGTGTTCGGAGAGTTAGCCGTAGCGCGCCGACGCCCCAAGAGGGATGGAGCAGGTAGATGTATGGAGGCGTGACGGCTCGGTAGAGGGAGACCTAGCGCGGCCAGCGGCAGACACGATCCCGCGGACAGGCCTGGGGAGTCTTGGTAGCGGGATCGCTGATCAGCCGGTCCGCCACCTCCCTGAAGCATTACCATCTAGGCAGCAGGCCCTTATCTCGTCGAAGCGGGATTGGCTCGCGCGGCACAAGCAGTGCAGGGGAGATGGAACGGCCTAGAAGAAAATTGGGGCACGGGGAGTAGATCGCTGGAGACTGGAGCGGATTGACTCGCACTTGGGTGCATGCCAACCCATCGTGGACGACAGCTCGGCAAAGCTGCCAAGAGCGGGTGCAACAGGGCTTTGTAAATACACACCTTTTGCTTGCGGCATGCGGCGCAGGCCTTGACCTTCCGGGAGATCTCGACCTGCTGTGGCATCAGGGGCTGATGAGACGGACCCGACGGAGCGTGAGGAGGTGGCCGAGTCTCGGCCGAATCTCTCCGCACACTGGCAGGCCGGCCAACCGTGATACTACCTGCCGACGGCGAGGACGTGTTCATCTTGGAGTGTGGATGTTGCTGTTGGTTCTGGGCCAGATTTCCATTCTGGGAGCCACAAGAGGATATCGCCGGTTAGCCGAGGAGAGGTTGGAACGGCTAACGGGGCTTGCGCGGGCCTGAATAAGGAGATAAGACAGCCGGGAAAAAGAAAGACTCACGGTGAGTGGCGCCTCTTCGGCAGAAGAAATCACTGTGTTGGCATCGTGCCATGACCTTTTGGACATCGCTCTACAGCGGTAGCTGTGATATGCAACGGTTTTGCCGGCAGCCCAACCACGAAATAATGGGCTCAAACAAGCTTGGCTGGGCAGGTATCTACTAGTCGAGCCTAGAAAGGGAGGAAAAGTGGGAAGGGCAAAAGGGAACAAAAAAATACGCAAAAAGGAAAGAAAAAACAACAATGATAAAAAAAAAAAGAATAAAAAAAGGCAAGAGGCTATCACTGTCAGAGCTTTGTGACGTGACGGCAGGTAAGACAATTCTGCGGGGGAGCGGGCGGAGGGGAAGTTGGGGAGCCTGAGCTGTGCTGCTATGGAGCGGAGCCAGCCGGGGATCCAATCCAACGCTGGCTGTGTTTGCGCCAAATGTGGCTGGGCACGGGGTGGTATTTTCAGCGGTCTGGGGCAGCGTCCCAGCAACGAAACGGCAGGTGGAGAGTGCGGGGCAGCGGGGAATTGTCGGGTGACGACGATTGCAAAAAAGGCAGGGGCCTGACTCGCGCAATGCTTGCTCCCGTCGGGTGTTTCGTCTTCAATTCTTTTTGCTCTTGTTTGGGGTGGGTTTTGAGCCTGTCGGTCGGGCTATATACACAGTAGGTCCTGACGATCACTTGGCCGTGGGCATTGTACGAGCAAGGCGCGGGCTTTACAGCTTTGGCTTTACAGTTTTGGCAGACAGGAGACGGTAGGTCGGTTTGCCCGTTTGAGGCACCAAGGATCGCCGACAGCCCGCATAAGCCTCTCCACGGCACTGCCTAATTAGGCAGTAGTAATCCAACGCACTTCCCTCGAGCGCTCAAAGTGCTGCCGCCGCTCCCGCATGGTTTCGAGCCATGGCTGCAACCAACCCTCTCAATGTCTCCCCCAGCCAAGCTAACCTAAAAAGCACCAAATCGAAAACCCAAACTCACCGGCCCTCGACGTGCTGGAGCATGTCTTGGACGTCGTGCCGGGCCTTTTCCTCCTCGGTTGGGTAGGCGTGCCGCCACATGGTCCAGATGCTACGCTGGAAGAGGTCGTCCATGGACTCCATGCTGCGACCCTTGAGCTCAGGCAGGCAGAAGTACACAAACACTACACCAATGTAGGTCAGCATCGCGTACAGCAGGAACGTGCCGTATCCCAGACGCGTCATCATGGTGGGCGTTGCTAGCGTGATGCCGTAGTCGACGATCCAGTTGACAAACAGGCACATGCCCATGCACACGGATCGGATTCGCGGCGGAAATATTTCAGCCGCGACCACGTACGGGGCCACGGAATGTCCGAACGACCACCCGAAGGCGTATACGTAAATCCAGATAATCCCGACGATGCCGCCCGCGGGCGTGCCCCCACCCTGGTGGCTGGTAGCGCCGCCCTCGACGAAGCGGACGTAGAGCGCCAGGTACAGCATGGCCGTCGCCTGCATCGTCGCTCCCACCATGAGCGGCAGCCGCCGGCCGACCCGGTCCACAATGACCGTCACGTACACCACCGTCGTCGCCATCTTGACCAGCCCGTACACGCCCGTGGTCAGCAGGCTCGACGACCCCGCGGGCACCCCGATCATGGCGAAGATGTCGGGCGCAAAGTAGTTGAGGCTGTCTGTGCCCGTGAACTTGTGGAACAGGAACAGCGTGACCGCCAGGAACAGGCGCCGCCGGTTGCTCGCGTTGGCCGCCATGTCGCGCAGCACCACCAGGTAGCCTCTGCCCGCGGCCTGCTCCTGCTCCGAATCCACCTGGGCGCATATCTCCATGGCCTCGCGCGCCACGTAGGGGTGGTCTTCCGGTAGGCCGCGCAACCTCGCGAGCGTCGCTATGCCCTGCTCTCGCATCCCTCTTGATATCAGCGCGCGCGGACTCTCGAGCACGAACGGCGTCAGGACGAAGAGCAGCGCGCCAGGGACCAGCTGGATTCCCAGGGCCAGGCGCCAGGCCGTGTTGTCGTTGGGGTCGTGCGCCCAGATGCTGACGCCGTAGTTGACCCAAAAGGCCAGCGCAAGCGACGTTACGATCATGAGGTTGTAGCTCGTCGTCAGGGAGCCCCGGACCGATCTAGGCGACACCTCGGCGAGATACTGGGGTGCGAGCATCGACGTGGCCCCAATGGCCAGTCCGCTGAGGAGGCGCCCAGCGTAGAACACGCCAAGTTGCGCCACCTCCTGCAGCGAGCAGCCAAGCAGGAAGACGGCTGCCGAGGCAAGCGCGGCGTGCTTGCGGCCAAGATAGTCCGACATTGGCGCGCCAAGCAACGCCCCGCCGGCCCCTCCCGCTGCCACCATGGCCGCAATGTTGCCAACTATATTTAGTTGTCATGTCAGCAAACGGGTGTTGAAAACACGCGCGCTCTCTCTCGT